TGGAAGGTGCACTCGCGCTCGGCCGGGCATGAGCCGTTCTCCCTGCTGGACACGATGATGTCATCTATGGAGATGGTGCCTTGCTCACCACCCACCACACCTTCAATGATGAACTGGAGAACCGCGAGAAACCTCATCAACAGCGTATCCATTTCCTGATATCCGTTTTGGGAATTACATCATCATCGGATGTCCATCAGAAGCAAAGAGACGACATGAATTTCAATCGCCAATAAACATTTTCAAAACATTGGAAAAGGTTGATGGGTAATTTTGCAATACGCAACAACACTGTCAACGAGTGGATATCCAGGATCGAAGGAGGAGGAGAAGAAGTTTCAGAAACCTCCGGGAGAGACAAAGAAGTGGAAGATGATCTTCAGTGGCGAAGCCGGGAAAGGGCGCGACCAAAAAGTATTAGCTTTCAGTGGTAGTGTACAAGAATATATATAAGAAAATACAAGAATAAATACGTATTTGACTATGCAACATGAACAAAAGCAAGAACAAAATCATCAATTAGATGCCTGATATTGATCAGGTGCACCCCAAGGTTCAATCTTATGCCCGCTGCTATTGTACATCGAGTGTGGTGGATTCTTGTGGCTTGTGAGTGTAATCTGAAATAACAAGTACAAAAGAAGGTACCTGTATCGGTTCGTCACTGGAGAAGGTAAGATCAGCAAATCTCCATTTGTTTCCCTGAGAGCCACTCCTAATCCACACAATATCCTCCGCATGACCAGGTCGCCTCACGATGAACTTCAATGAACCTGCTGATGAAGAGAAATAGTTGCGGCCCGTTTATTTTTAACCAAAAGGGGATTCCAAAGAAAGGATTTTGGAAGGGATATCTACCAGTGCTGGTGCCAAAAATGTGGTAGCGGAAGCTCACGCAAATGACTTGGCCCGCAGCGAAGCCGACCAGTCTCGCTGCAGATGAGATGTTCAGGCCACGTTGGCTGGATATGAGCATGTAAGTGCCTGTGGGTGAGGGCAGAAAGCGTGCGCATTCAAGTCGACGTGACAATCCGAGTCTTGTAGCTATGAATACGAACCGTTGCCTTCGGGGTATTTAAATCCACCTCGAACCCGTTGCCACAGGACACTGGCACTGTAGTCATGGTACCAGGAACAAGTGTCTTTTTCAAAATGGCAGGAGAGCTGCTCAGACCCAGCGGGGACGTCTCCCTCCGCGCACTTGTCGAAGTTGACGTCATCCAGCATCACATCCGTGCTTCCGAAGAAGGGACAACTGAAGGAAAACTGGAGCTGTTGTGGAGTGAGATGTTTTTGTGAGATGGTGCCTGTAAGATGCGTCGAACAGACTTTAAGGAGGCATATCCCGTGAACCAGAACTCAGGTGCTTTCATAATTAACTTCTGCCCCACATCGCCCATATTGCCTTATTCTGGACGCAATCCAACAATTTGATGGATTCTAATGATGCCCATCAATACCTTGTACCCTCCGGGCCGATTCCCGATGATAGTCCGGGCATTCTGCCAGCCGTTGGTCATACTCTGAGTCTGAAGCAGTTTCTGTGTAGCTGTCCCTCGAACCATGATTACATTAATGGGTGTAGATGACACGACGGAATTTTCATCATGAAGATGGTACCAGAAGCTGAAACGCAATTGAAAATTTGTCAGGCATCATCAGACATTAAAATTTGTCATTTTAACGTTGCCGCGGTACCTGAGCTGACATCCTACAGGTGCCCTTTTGTCAACGTAATATTCCAAAATTGCCGTAGACGTAAGATCACAGCGCTTTTCGCCATCAATATACATGACATGCCCTGTTGGACGGAGGGGGAAAAAAAAAAAAAAAAAAAAACGCTAAATTAGTAAAGGCACACCTAAACCACTGAAAACAGCGGAACGATGGGAACAGACTTTACCCCATGGGCTCCCTGAGGTGTGATCCTGTCCAGGTAGCGAGGTGACGTTTGCCCACTGCCTGGTCCAGGCGTACTCGGAGGTGTTGTTCCAACCGCACGAGTGATCCTCAAAATCGCATGAGCCTTAGATGGTTGAATTGGAAAAAAAGGCTTTCTTATTTGAGTTTTCAAACTCAGGTGAAGGCGCATGGCTTACCGCAGTAGAGCTCGTCTGAGCCGTCCTTGCAGTCTTTCTTGAAATCGCACACGAGTCCGGAGGAAAGGCATTCTCCGCTCACGCAATTAAACAATCCGTCCGGGCAGGAGGATGCGGCGGCAAAATAGGCTGTATTGGATGTTTGGTTGTTTTTTTTTTAAGAGAGATAACACAGGGGGGATGTGAGCAAAAGTGGGTTTTCAACATCAATTTCACGTCGTCGTCATATTAAATGAAATGGGATGGTGAAATCACCCAATACCAATTTGTTTCATGAGAAATTCGAGCGAATGCATCCATTTTAGGTGTTAAGGTAAGCTTTTTCAAATGACTTACTGGACCGGATTCACCCTGGTTTTCTTTTCAGTTGAAGGTCATACATAGGCCAATTTATGGATTACAATTAAAACACGTACAACATGCTACTATCCCAGCTAAGTGAATTATTCAACCAGCAACAGCCTTAAACCTTGAAAGTGTCATATAACTGGATAGCCTTTAATTCACTGGTGTAGAGCCGCATGGCTTAAACCTCGGAAGTGCACCATTAAAATTCAGGCATCGTTACAACGCAACACAATTCTGCTGTTGTCGAGCCTCGATAAGATAAGAAAGATAAGAAAAACATGGAGAAATTCCCAATTTACAGCAGCAAAATTAGGAAAGGGAGAAAGTAGATAAATCAACAGAAATAATACAAAAATAATCCTATAAATATAAGCATATTAAAAATGGGTGAGTAGGGGCGCAGTCCAGGTTTCCAGGACCGTCTATTCAAGATTATTTATCACATATTGATTTATTAATATCTGTTCTATTCAATATTCTATTATCTATTCAAAGGTGACATCCATGCTGTGATTATTACACACACACACACACACACACACACACACACACACACACACACACACACACAGTGGTTTTTATATGATGCTGTGAAAAGTGCACATTGTCAATGACATTTCAACTTTGACATTCAAGCACTATTTTAACTGCGTTTTACATCTAATGTTTTTTTTTTAGCTGCAATATAACAGTGCCTTAATACGTGAGGTGAGCGGTTATAAAAAGCCCCAAGCAATGCCCACCCCCCACCCACCCCCCGGGAGGTCTTTATAAAAACTGAAATCGCCCCCCCCGTTTTAGATGAATACAACGCAGACATTTTACCTGCCAGTAGAAAAAGCAATTGCCGCATTGTCTGAAGTCGGCAAGATGGAGTTTCATCCAAAGAGATAGCTGGTCATTTACAGCACTGCTATCCAAAGCTCACAAGGCGATGAACCGTTTGTGCCTGTGGTGTCCGGGAGTGCAACTTTTATTATGACAAGCGAGCTTTGAGCAGTGAGTCCGTAATGTCAGACGTGTGCGTAAAGTCCAGGCGGTGGCGGCGAAGGATTGAACAGCGGAACGGTTTTAATCTGATGGCCCTCAAACGGTCAACTATATTCTTGGCAATAAAAGAGATTACGATTATAAAAACATACACAATAGATTGCGGTCGCTCAAAAAAAAAAAAGGACAAAGGGATTTAAAAGGGAATTTTTGGTGAAATATGACTTGATGTACAAATATGGGCGGTTTGGAATGTCTGACGCATGAAATGCTAAATTTCCCAAATCAATTTTTGTGGGTGTGTTGCATTACTTCCAAAGATGAGCAAACCAAACATTTGGTCGAATTAACATCATCCCAACCCGCTAACCTTCTGCATCAATGGCTTGGAAACTGGCAAAAGTCTGCAATTTCCACTGTCAACAAGCTGGGACGGCCTCTCACTGAAGAATAAATCACTCAAATTTCACTGCCTGCTTGTCTTCAAAAAAGCGCTTGGCAGCCCTCCATCACGGGTGTCAAGTTTGCACCTTTGACGCTGATATTCCTGATCAAAGGTTTACATGTGTCCCTCAGGTCACGTAGTGAAAGGCACAATCAAAGGTTTCCGCGATAACGCCCGGGAAAAGAAAAAAAACAACAAAAACTGCTGAGTGCAAAGCCTTTTCACAAACGCACACGAGACCGCAAGAGCTTCGGGAACGACTGATCATATTTCAGCACCGTGCAACAAACTCGACAAAGGGAGGAAGTGAAAATCCAAAATGCTATGTTGGCCAGCGTTATTTCGTTCATGATCCAAAACAGGACATTGCTTGCTTGGCTCTTGACCCACACAACGGGTTCTCCTTATCAGCAACAAAACAATAATAGGCGGCGTTGAGGAGATTGATGCAATTGATTCAAACTGTGAACAGTCAACGCCACAACGGGCCACTGCGAAAGCCCTTTCGCACCGTTGGCTAAAGTCAGCATTTTCCACCTTTTTTCTCCCTGACGCCGTTCTATGTAAACAACAGCAACGCCATCTTCGGAGATCGCGTCAAGGCCATAACAGAGGCACAGTGGCCAATTCGATACAATTCTGGGAACCGGGTTTGATGTTTAACACCTGATATTCTTCCTCCGCCTTGTTTTTTTTTGAACTAATCTAATCATCTGTTAGCGGGATGATCTGCGGCAATATCCTGCTTTGCCAAGTGCGGCGCAAAAATGCTGATGCAGCAATTTAGAAGTAAGAACATTTTTGACTTGACTTCACCTTTCACCAAAGCAGACAACGACCTCATACAAACAAAATGAACAGAACTGCAAAGCAATGATGTCGCGCAATGCCACAAACTGTATTCCATTTTTTTTAAATTGCACAATCAAATTGACTTTTAGACTAATTCTTTTGAGTCAATGATGAGAGGCGGGTACCGGAGTGTTGAATTGACACTGATGAGTCACGTTTAGCATAAACGTCTTACACATCATTCCCTCCCCCCTTGCTGCAGGACAGGAAGTGAATGGGGACACTTTCTCAATGAAGCTAAGGAAAAAAAAAAAAAAAAAGGGTCAGTTCTTGTTAAGAAGTCTTCCTTTTCATGGTCACGCTCATAAGTCCGCTGCTTGCAACACGGGCCATGTCTGCAGCGCTTATCGGAAGAATGTTGAAGGCCGGAATAACGCTAGCTGCCTTCGCGCTCCTTGCACCAATGTCTTTGTGCGTGCAATTGGATGGTAAAGTATTCATATTATGATGTTCTTTTCTCTCTGTCAGCTATCCTCCGTTGCAGATACAAAATGGAGGCGCTTATCCTGAGAGTCAAATGACTAAAAAAAAAAAAAAAATTACCTTTATTTCCTCCCCCATCAGTCATGCAAAGGTTGATGTCATTTAGCCAAAGGTTTCATTTTAATAATTGCTTTTTATTGAAATAGCATCCGAAGGATGTTTACTACTAACTCATGGGGCGAATTCAAATCAAAATGAGTGTGTACGCACGCGTCTTTATTCATGTTAAGAAATGGAGGCTTTGCGCAACGAGTGAAGTGAAATTTTCTCCGGTTGTGTAAAAATTTTGGAAAGTTTAATCTTGACCATCTTGTTGCATTCATTTTTCGGGAACAATGATATTTCCGGGTCAGTTTGACCCGAGGGATGTTTAATTATTCAAGAGTCATAAGCTTAAAAAAAAAAAAAAAAGACGATTATTGTTTCGAGCTCATCATACACTCCATGACTCGCAATTTCATTGTCAAGAAGGAAAAGTCATTCATTTTGCATTTTTTAAATGTCAATGAAATTTCCTGATTGCAATTGCCCAAAAAGAAGACATTTCATACCGACAATGTGTTTTTAATCAATTGATTTTTTTGTTTTTAACCTTTGGAATGGGTCGATTGGACCTGCGACATCGACCTCATGATTTGGATATTTTTGGCGTTTAGCTTGAGGAAGTAAACGCATGTGACGGCCCGCTGTTTTGCTTTGCCGTCCAGACTCTCCATTCACGCTCTACAACAAAGCTTCGAGCTCGTGCCTACTGAAAAAGTCGTCCCGCTGCCAAGAGGTGCGCTGGACGAGCGGCAACCGCATTTTTGTCACCTCCACCAAAAAGTGCCTGGGGTCGCAAGGCAAAAGCGTGGGCAGCGAGGTCAACGTGTACGACTGCGACGAAAGGAGCGATCTGCAGAAATGGGAGTGCGTGAACGGGACGCTGCTGGCGCTGAAAGACCAGAAGCCGGCGCTCTACATTGAGCTCAAGTCAGATGGAGGCATCGCGCTTTCCAGGACGACAGGGCCTGGCAACAGCTTCACCATCACGGGAACGGCCAACGGCGCCTGCTCGAGAACTCACAGAGGTACGCTGTGCGCACAGATTGGGAAACATGATTAGATTGAAAAGGATCTTCTGCTGACCTTATTTCCCCCCCCCCTTTTTTTTTTAAATAAATTCATCTATTTCAAAGTTAAATGTACGAGGTTTTCGTTTATGTAAGAAAAAAAAAAGTTTAAAACTTCATTCTGCATTTATTTTTTTAAATTCAACCGCGTTTACAATTTAAAAAAAAAATCTAAAAAATATATTTTTATGTTGAAAAAATTATTTTCTGCGACTGAAATAACCTTCCTTCTTCTGTATGCGTGTACTGCAACACTGAACAATAAGTACATTCAAAATGAACCCCGAAAGCTCATGTGTATTAAATGACAAACCCGAAAATAAAGAACATTTTCACGAGAATTAAAGTTAGTTTCAGTTAGCGTTATCCATCCATCCAAGGATCGCAAGTGTGCCGGAGCCTATCCCAATCGCACCTCGGGACAATTTCGAGAATTCAATCCACCTACCCTGCATGTTATTGTAACGTGGAAGGAAAACGGCATACCCGGAGAAAACCCACAAAGACATGGGGAGTAAATGCAAACTCCACACAGGAATTAAAGTAACTTGGAATGTTAGTGAGATATTTTTCAAAAATCTGAATGATGGGAGAAATGTTTTGCTATGATGAGAATTTTTAGGTTCGGGTTGTTTTTTTTTTTACACTGAGGTCTATCTTGGACCGGACGAAACGGGGCCGTGTATAGTCCACGTGCCGGAGGTTACCTACCGCTGCTTGAAATGGATGGCTGTCTGAAACGGGGCCGTGTATAGTGCCAGAGGTTACCTACCGCTGCTTGAAATGGATGGCTGTCCAGTCTGCCCCGCTGACCGTGCACATTATTGCCCGTGACTCCTGCAGAAGTGTAGAAAATATACCCGAGTCAGCCAGTGTACAGTTCTGCATTCATGACATTTCTCAATTTCTTCTTGCCATTGCAGTGTTGTACTCCATCGACGGCAACGCGTACGGAAAGCCATGCATGTTCCCCTTCCTGTATAAAGATCGGTGGTTTGGCGACTGCACGGCATATGACTCCTCAATTAAGCGCCCCTGGTGCGCCATCGGCACCAAATACGAACACGAGCAGTGGGGATACTGCCCGACGACGTGTGAGTTGAACGCTTATCTCGTGTGCTTCCTGACCGAAGATGAGGAGTATGGCGGTGCCTTGAGATAGGAGTTTTTCAAGATACGCTTTGACTCGTGAGCACAAGCATGAGATCCGAGCACCGCGTGGAAGCGGTGAACTTGAACTCATCTCACCAAAGAATAAGCAGTCCTTTGGCAAATAGGGAGTACTTCTTCAAAAACAAGAGGCGCCGAAAGCTGTTGGACGCCACGAGGCTACAAAAGGAGGAGTCCTCAAAGGGTCCTCCGGGATGCAGCCTGATGATTTGGACGCAGTTCATGCGGATACAGACAAAGAAGAGCAAAGAAGTGCCGACTCTCTTATTCATTTGTCTGTCTGATTGTATTCTACTGCCCCCGGTGGCCAAATAGCACAAAGAAGGAGTGAGCGGAATGAATGAAATTCTTTTGCATTCCATGTCATCCTGCTAATAGGTTCTTTTTCTGCGGCAGGCTATTATTGGGGATTATTTCCGTTCCAAAAAATGTTTTTTTGTTGGTGGGGGTCTAGAACAGGCATGGCATTTATATTCACTTCAATGGGAAAGGATGTTTTGAGATGTGAGGGGTTTTTTTTGAGTTACGAGCACGGTCACGGAATGAAAAAAAAAACCTCTTATTTCCTTGTTTTTGTGTCACTGTGCAGCTACGGAACACTGGAAGAAGAATCACATCACAGGAGCTTACTACCAGCTCAACGCTCAGGCAGTTCTGAGCTGGGCGCAGGCTGACGAGAGCTGTAAACAGCAGGGGGCCACCCTGGTCAGCATTACCGATCCCAACGAGCAAGCCTTTATCTCAGGTGAGAGATACCCACACGCTCTTATAGCGCTAGAAAATTTCATATGCAATCTATTTTTACAACGTCATTGTTCATATTACATGTCATTTGTATTTGGATTGCAGTGGTTATAGATTTTGTCATTATTTGACAGCTTTTTTTTTTTTTACCCAATTAATGACAATTATTTATGAGCTTTTTACTTATTTTATTGAAATAAAAGTTGCAATGCGACAAAGGACGTCACATTGGCAACATCCTAAAACTTCCAGTTGAGTCGTACCACACAGCAACGACTTCCAAATTTAACGACCTGTTTCGTAACTGCGCAAAGAAATGCGCTGGACATTTATGAGAGCGCCTATTTGTCCCGGGGACCATCCAGCGTCACGGGGCGCGGGCTCGGCTTCCAATACCAACACTTCTAACTGCTGATTAGTTTGAAGTCATTGTTTGTTATTGCCCGTGACTCCTGCAGAAGTGGAGAAAATATACACGAGTCAGCCAGTGTTACGGTTCTGCATTCATGACATTTCTCAATTTCTTCTTGCCATTGCAGTGTTGTACTCCATCGACGGCAACGCGTACGGAAAGCCGTGCATGTTCCCCTTCCTGTATAAAGATCGGTGGTTTGGCGACTGCACGGCATATGACTCCTCAATTAAGCGCCCCTGGTGCGCCATCGGCACCAAATACGAACACGAGCAGTGGGGATACTGCCCGACGACGTGTGAGTTGAACGCTTATCTCGTGTGCTTCCTGACCGAAGATGAGGAGTATGGCGGTGCCTTGAGATAGGAGTTTTTCAAGACACGCTTTGACTCGTGAGCACAAGCATGAGATCCGAGCACCGCGTGGAAGCGGTGAACTTGAACTCATCTCACCAAAGAATAAGCAGTCCTTTGGCAAATAGGGAGTACTTCTTCAAAAACAAGAGGCGCCGAAAGCTGTTGGACGCCACGAGGCTACAAAAGGAGGAGTCCTCAAAGGGTCCTCCGGGATGCAGCCTGATGATTTGGACGCAGTTCATGCGGATACAGACAAAGAAGAGCAAAGAAGTGCCGACTCTCTTATTCATTTGTCTGTCTGATTGTATTCTACTGCCCCCGGTGGCCAAATAGCACAAAGAAGGAGTGAGCGGAATGAATGAAATTCTTTTGCATTCCATGTCATCCTGCTAATAGGTTCTTTTTCTGCGGCAGGCTATTATTGGGGATTATTTCCGTTCCAAAAAATGTTTTTTTGTTGGTGGGGGTCTAGAACAGGCATGGCATTTATATTCACTTCAATGGGAAAGGATGTTTTGAGATGTGAGGGGTTTTTTTTGAGTTACGAGCACGGTCACGGAATGAAAAAAAAAACCTCTTATTTCCTTGTTTTTGTGTCACTGTGCAGCTACGGAACACTGGAAGAAGAATCACATCACAGGAGCTTACTACCAGCTCAACGCTCAGGCAGTTCTGAGCTGGGCGCAGGCTGACGAGAGCTGTAAACAGCAGGGGGCCACCCTGGTCAGCATTACCGATCCCAACGAGCAAGCCTTTATCTCAGGTGAGAGATACCCACACGCTCTTATAGCGCTAGAAAATTTCATATGCAATCTATTTTTACAACGTCATTGTTCATATTACATGTCATTTGTATTTGGATTGCAGTGGTTATAGATTTTGTCATTATTTGACAGCTTTTTTTTTTTACCCAATTAATGACAATTATTTATGAGCTTTTTACTTATTTTATTGAAATAAAAGTTGCAATGCGACAAAGGACGTCACATTGCCAACATCCTAAAACTTCCAGTTGAGTCGTACCACACAGCAACGACTTCCAAATTTAACGACCTGTTTCGTAACTGCGCAAAGAAATGCGCTGGACATTTATGAGAGCGCCTATTTGTCCCGGGGACCATCCAGCGTCACGGGGCGCGGGCTCGGCTTCCAATACCAACACTTCTAACTGCTGATTAGTTTGAAGTCATTGTTTCCAAGAGGTTCTTGTGATTGTCGGTGACCCCGGCCGGGATGAAGCAATCCGAATGAGGAACAACTCAAAAGAAAAGAGGAACGACGGCTTCACCCTGTCCTTTCCTGTGTTTTCCTGTTCTCGCCACGCAGCGCTCTTAGGAAATGTGAAAAATAAGCTTTGGATCGGGCTGGTCTTGAATCCCGATCACGGCTGGCAGTGGACGGATTACAAGCCCATGCGATTCCTGAGATGGTCTAGCGGTCAGTATTTGCTCAGGCTTCGGGAGATCATGCCAACTTTCCAGCGGCCGCAGTAACAGGAAGGACGGCGATTTGGTTTTAGGATTCCCGCTTCCTTATCCGGGTCACAACTGCGCGCTTCTGGACTCGGCTGGGCAGCACAGGTGGGAATCGTTTCCCTGCTCGAAGAAGATCGGCTACATCTGCTACAAACCCGGAGCCCCGCCTCTTCCTCCGCAGGGTACGCCATCACTCTTCACTCCAAATAGCACTCATAGTGGCCAGCGCCATTCATTCACTCAACTTTTGCTTGAGAGAGCGAGGCATCCGTTTGGGTTGAGGCCTTCATATGTGAAGTTCAAGTGGTGACATTTTGCCTTTGATGCGTTTCATGATCTTGCTTGAAACTCCAAACATCTATTTATTTTGAAGTGAATGAAAATGCCGTTAATTCCAGTCGTATAAGGTAGCGCTGCAACTATTTTTGGTGGAAAGGATGGATGAATGGCATTCGTTTCAAAGGGAAAACGGATTTCATCCATTTTCAAATCCGCTTACCCTCACGAGGGTTGCGGGCACGTTGGAGCCCATCCCGACTGTCTTCGGGCAGTCCAACCGGTTGCCCGCCAATCGCAGGGCGCATATAGAAGAACAGCCGGTGCTGCTCACGATCACAGACAATTTCGAGCGGTGCGGTCCATCAAACTGCCAGGCATGTTTTTGGAACGTGGGAGGAAACCGGAGTACCCGCGGAAAACCCGCGCAGGTACGGGGAGAACATGCAAATTCCACACAAGAAGGCCGGAGCCGGGATCGAACCCCGCATCTCTGCGCCGTGAAGCGGACGTGCGAACAGATTTCAGATATCGACTGAGTTCCGGGGTAAATTCAAGCCACAAGTCATACGTCGTTGAGCAACATGCCTCTTTTCCTTTCCGGTGTTCAGCTGAGCAAGGATTCTGTTCAAGCCCTTGGATCCCGTACAACGGCCACTGCTTCCACCTCGTTCGGACCCCGAAAACTTGGTCCGACGCGCAGAAGGAGTGTCGCAAGGAGGAGGGGGAGCTTGTGAGCATGCGCAACCTAGAGGACCACAGCTTCGTTATCTCTCAACTGGGATACGGTGAGCGAACACCAAACTTGGTGGCGACCCAACTAAAAAAAAAGGTTCTAATTAGCCATTACTTCACCTACAATGACAGAAGCACAATTACCAGTATATTAATGTGATAGATTGTTTTTTTGTTTTGCATACTATTGAAATGACTAGTGGATCTTTGAAATAATGATCACTGAAACATGAACATTTCTTTTTCACACTGCAACATGACCCTAGTGAGGAGAAGTGAATGAATGAGGGAGGTCATATTAAAAAAAAAAAAAACAGCTTAACAATATAATGGTGGGTTCGCATTCACTGTACGCAGCCTCCACCGATGAGCTCTGGATCGGCCTGAACGACAGGAGGACCGAGGGTCTGTTCGAGTGGAGCGACGCGGCCGATGTCTACTTCACTAGCTGGGAGTATGGAGAACCAACCCTCGTGACGGATGACGAGGACTGCGTTCTCATTCGGGGCGAGGTATGGAGCAAAATATAGATATAGATTTTTTTTTTTTGGTTTATTTGTTTTTATAGCCAGGTCACGAACATATTATTAAGGAAAAATGATTTGCGCCCCACAGAATGGCAACTGGGCCGACCGCTCCTGTGATGAGAAACATGGCTTCGTTTGCATGAAGCAGAGCAGCACACACCACCAGCCAGATGAAGTTCCGATCGATATTGGTTGCAAAGCCGTGAGTTCCCTTTCTAAAATATCTTTGGGGATTGAGTCCACGTAGGGCAAAAATACGCACATTTTGGACCCAAGTAGAGAAGTACAGATATATTTAAAAAAAAAAAAAGGGAAAGGAGCGAGGGAGAAAGGTCACATCAAGGACAAATGAGAAGTGAAAAATGGAGTCAAGTACCGCAACAAAGTATTTGCACTGACATTACCTCCTACGATTGATTTTATTAATTCAATATGAAGACATTTTGACTTGAATCAATGTGTTTCCCAGGGTTGGAAACGACACGGCTCCTATTGCTACTTTGTTGGGACGGAGACCAAAACATTTGACGAAGCCAAGAGTGACTGCAAGGCAACAAACTCCTACTTGGCTGATGTGTCAAACGGGTAAGAATAATTGACATTTCAATACAGCGTACACATTTTTTTTTTCTTCAACCAAAATCAATTTGGTGGGCTACGAGAGACTCAACGACAACGCGCACAAAATGTTTTTTTTAGCCGATGTCCAGCAGAGGGAGACCCTGCCATCTCGTTTATTTCCTTTTTTTTTTTTTTGCTCACAAACTTGAGATAGAAGCGCTGTTTGGTGGCAGGTGACTGAACTCCCATCACAACAAACAGCAGTTGGGCAGAGAAAGTCATGGCACTAATCCAGTAGTACTGCTGCGCGGTACCGAGAAGGTGGCGCTGAGCCCCCAGCACCGTCCTATCTGGACGCCTGTGTGATACTGCCCCCAGGTGGCCAAATGTGCAATGACTGAATGAATGACTGCATGAATGTAAATGTGTCCAGGGTGGACAACGCCTTTTTAATCAGCTTGGTGGGGGCAAGGCCTGAGAAATACTTCTGGCTGGGCCTCTCAAACCAGAAGAACAATGATGAATTTGTGTGGACCAACGACAACGCGGTCAGTTTTACGCACTGGAATAATGAGATGCCAGGTACGGTATGTGCTTTGTTGCAAATGATGGCAGAAATAGCGAGCGAGGCCGTGATTCCGACCATTCGGAAATCAGACGGAAAAGTTTTCAAGTTCATCCAAACTGACCTCGTTGGTATTTGGGGGAAGACGGGTTTGCATCTGGTTGCTGGAGCTGCGATGTTAGGATGCTTCTTTTTGAAACTAACTTGACCAAAAAACAAACAGAAATTGTAGCATATTGGAGAGATGTGAACACAACTCGCTCCAATTAAAGCACAACACGCTCTTTTTGAGCTGCGCTAAGCTAATGTATGTGATTTTAATTACATTTGAGGGGACTCTCTTTCTCCTGCTAACATGGCCGCCACGTACTGCGCATCAATTCATTTCTTTTGATGGAAAGTCACCGCTGCCATCATGGCCGCCGCGTAAGCACGGCAGTGACCCAGATGTAAGATGCGTAGTGCTCCGTGTCTGTGACGGGCGGCACAGCCTTTGTGGAAGCATCAGACTTTGACAGCGGCTCGGACATTTTGAATGAATCAGAGGTCCCTTGGCCTCAGCTCCATTCGATCCAGGTTCCACTGCATAAGTCCTATTTCAATTTTTTTTTTTTTTGGAGAATAAATATATTTTGTTCTCCTGTCACGAAAGGTAGTAGACAAGGCTGCGTGGCCATGACAACTGGTATTTTTGCCGGCCTGTGGGATCTGCTGCCCTGCGACAATAAGGAGAAATACATCTGCAAGCATCTTGCCGAAGGGGCGGTTTTGACGCCACCCCCGCCGACCATCAGCCCCCCGCAGTGTGCAGAGGGCTGGATACGAGTAGGAACAAGGAACGTCTGCTCGAAGGTTTGTCTTGAAAATGGCGTGAATTTGTGACACCGGTTGACTTCAGAGTTGTCCCCAGAGGAAGTAATGAATCAAAATTGTCACCGTCAACAAGCCCTTATCAACCGCGTTACCCTTGGCAGCACGGCCACTGAGTGGCGAGCACGTCTGCCTCACAGTTCTGAGGCTCGAGTTTTCCTGTATGGAATGTTCTACCCATGCTTGCGTTTAGGTTCATTCGAGACTTTAAATCAGGGGTCAATAACCTCCAGATGATATACTCTTCGTTGTGATGTCTTCACTCCTCTCTCATCTCATCAGTACAGCACTAATACCGGATGTTAGAACAAGACGTTAACGAATGATACGAGTGCAAGTATTTTAATACTATCTGTCTACATGTGTTGCTGCACCCTTTGCGTTGAGTCCATTGCTTAAAGAGTTCATAAAATGCAACCTGGGGGCTATTTAGCGTTAACGTTAAGATGTTCACTCATTGGATCTGCTGCTTCACCACTGTAATCTCGTCAACAAACTGTTAACAGTCTGACGTCATCCATCCATTTTCTGTCCTCATTAGAGTCACAGCTCAACAGTAGCCTAGCTTGCTCCATAATTCCATTTTCGGGACTACGGTTATGATGACATCACAACATTTTGCGCCGTGTTTAGTTCTGCAGCGTCGTCACAAAAACAAAAATGTGAACTACACTTCGGAGTTCCAGCTCATCAAAAAAAAAGAAATCAAAAAGTCTCGCCCTCCAGTTCTTCACAGGTCCTCGTTCGTTTGAGAAGACCTGGTTTGAGGCCAGAGATTTCTGTCTGGCCATTGGAGGGGATCTCCTCAGCATCCACAGCACTTCTGAGCTGTTTGTGGCACGGTACGCAACTGTTGTTGTGGGCGTGGGGGCAGGAGGGACACTTGTCACATGCCAAATTATTTTTGGACAAATATTATTAATGTATTCACATTTCATTATTATTACTATTATGTTTTTTTTTTTTTTTTTTTTTTGCTGAAGCCACGGAAAGGCCTGGATTGGACTTCATATTGCTGACCCGAGCACAGGTTACGTCTGGAGCGATGGATCCCCAGTAAGTGCGTGCTTTTTTTTTTTTTTTTTTTTTTTTTTTTTGCTGAAGCCACGGAAAGGCCTGGATTGGACTTCATATTGCTGACCCGAGCACAGGTTACGTCTGGAGCGATGGATCCCCAGTAAGTGCGTGCATGGCACCACATCTATGAAATCAAAACCCATTTTCTGATGACAATCGATGTTCATTACACCGCAAATAGAAATATATCTCGTTGCATACTCTTTATTGATTTTGCTTTTTTGCCTGTTTATTTATTTTCACAGGTAAACTTCCTACATTGGCAGGAGGGCGAGCCAAATAATTTCCAAAATTCGGAATCTTGTGCCGAGTTCCGCATGTATCGAGCCGACGACGCGGGCTCGTGGAATGACGTCCACTGCGAGAGCTACAACGACTGGCTTTGTGAGATCCGCGCGGGTAACCAATGCGCTCGAATGATTGCTTGGCTTTCAACCGACCGGGTATAGCGGCGACAAACCAGTCATTTCTCACGTGTCTTTGAATTCCAGGAGTGACTCCAAAGCCACCCCCGAACGACACCGCTGTTGGTAACGAGACACTCTGCAGACACCAAAACACATGACGTCGCGCGCGGTGAGGCCGTGTCATCAGTGTTTCCGACCGCTGTCCCTCAGCAGAGTTTAACACGACCTCGGACGGTTGGCTCGAGTGGCGAGGGAGTCAGTACCTCATCCACAGAGTGTCAATGGCCATGGAAGACGCTCGCCATTACTGCAAGCAGCACCACGGCGACTTGGTGACAATCAACAGCGAAGCGGAAAACATTTTCCTCTGGAAACAGGTGAGGACGCTGACAGTGGACTGGTGAATGCTCAACCCCAAGCTATAAAAGATACATTATTATTAGTATTATTTTTTGGTCAATGCAGATTTCCAGAACCTACGGGACCTACTACATTGGCTTATCCGTGGACCTCGATGGCTCATTTTGGTAAGGAGGAAAAAGGAACGCCACTATTAGAATGTCAGACACTTGCTCACATACCAAGCATCCAATTTTGCTGGAAAGCCCCTTGAAATGGAGTACACCTCCGAATATTGTGGCCATCCAACGGAAAATAAAAGTTGCACACAATCGCCGTGCTGTGAAATCCCTGCAATACCACCTCCTGCTTGTTCAGGACATTTTCTACAAGCTGGGGTGGAACGGTTATTGAGCAACTGAGGAAGAAAGGCAGTGTCATGTAATCCTCCATTTTTTTTTGGTGTGTGTGTGTATGTGTGTCACTGAAGGTGG